ATTTGTCGTAGGCGTAGTGTCGTGGAGGAGCAGGCGTGTTCATCACACTGGAAAAAAGTTTTCGCACCAGCGTGCTCTTTTCCTAACTGGCACACCGCCTAAACCAGACGTAAATTGTTCTCATTTGCACGACCCACCTTTCTCGACGTCTGAAATGGGCGCTTTAACCCACAGTCGGTACACACGACCGCACAAGCCGAGCATATCTCTTGGTGAGAGCGTTTCTCGAGCTTTAGTGTTGTGTTCATGCATTCGGAACATGCCAGCGATGAAAACACTGAAGAAAGAATACCAATGTCCATTATCCTGTTCTCTTGGAGCGCAGAATTTTCTAGTGGAGCCTGGTACGCCTTGTTTATGTCCCCAAGCTTCTTCGTGGTCGCCGAAATAACGGCGTCTGTGTCAGTAGGCAGCCTCCTCGTCGTGTAGCGATTTCCAGCAAACTTGCGCTTCCTCGTCTTCCGTGTTCTGCACTTGCCCATGCTGGTCGTAATATGGTCCAGGTGGCCTAAGGATACAGCCCTAGTAGCGTTGACACGTGGAACAAATGCAGAACGAAGCCTGATGTAGCCTGACCAAGGCAAACAACAAAAATTCCGACAAGCATCGTGCGTCCCCCTTGTGGCTGCTGTTAGAGATTAACAAAGACTTTTAAACACAAAGTTGTATATAATGCCATCACCTTATATAACAGTCACAATAAAATGCGTAAAGTATTTTGAATAGCATTAATATAGACGAAACAACACTTGCTTTTGAAAGCGAATTTTTCGAAACAGAAACCACAGTTGGAAATGTGGTTTCGGTTTTGCTATAGGAGCATAGGGTATAGTAAGCTTGCTCTAACATGCAAACTAATGACGCTAGGAGGACAATTTTTTTTGCAACATATATGTGAATGTTTGGGCGTGCAAGAAAAACAAAACCCTGAAAATTTATTTCGCAAAAAAAAAGTGACTTTTGAAGGTGGCCTATCACCTTAAACAACGGGCAGTCGTTCTCGTGAAATTTTTTCGGACTTGCTATCCACCCTCTACGTGGCCTTATAGGAAAAGGCGCAGTAACGTGTGTGCGTTTTGTAGTAGATGGCCTGCTTTAAACGATAGAGTTGCCCCGCCGCGGTGGTCTAGTGGCTAAGGTACTCGGCTGCTGACCCGCATGGCGCGGGTTCGAATCCCGGCTGCGGCGGCTGCATTTCCGATGGAGGCGGAAATGTTGTAGGCCCGTGTACTCAGATTTGGGTGCACGTTAAAGAACCCCAGGTGGTCTAAATTTCCGGAGCCCTCCACTACGGCGTCTCTCATAATCATATGGTGGTTTTGGGACGTTAAACCCCACATATCAATCAATCAATCAATTAAACGATAGAGTTATGACTATCACATGTTCTGATGCTAGATCGCAATGTACGCTTGCATCATGCATTATTACTGTGATATTACATGTTGCGTTGTGCAGCATGTATGGAGGACGAGTGTGTTTGTAAAGCATGCAAGTTACTTTCACTGCATTTGCAAGCAGAGAGTTATTTTCACTGTGTTTCCAGGCAAACGCGTGGCTCTGTGGTAGAACACCTGCTCGCCGCTCAGATGAGCCGGGTTTGATTCTCACTTAGACCCATAATTTATTATTTATTTCATTTGCATTTTTCTCGACGGTCAGGCACAAGACGATCTTTTGCTCACAATTGAATACGCCGACGTCAACACCAATGCCAACACAAGAATTTTTGCGAAACAAGCTCTTTGACGCTTTCACATTAAAAATGAGCAGGTGTGCCTACTTTGAGCCACTGAAGTACCATATTTACTCGCGTGATTAACTCACTCACATAATGAACCCACCCCCCACATAGGTCCTTGGAAAAAGAAAAGAAATTCAATATATCTGTTTATTTTATTTCAGTATGATAGCCGGAGCCCTTAATGATGGAAACAGCATTAAATCAGGCCGTTATATCAGAAAATGATGATGCAGTAAAAGTTGAAACAAAGTTAAACAACAATGCTAAACAATTGTGAGCAGCGCGAGCTCTAAAGAGGTCGATAAAAATTTAAAGGTCGCGTCTTTTGCGGCACAGTATCATCTTTCGAATGCAGGAGAAACCTTTTTGCTTATAGTGCCACGCAAGCGCAGCGGCAAGAAAAAAAAAGCAAAAAACGAAGTGCATGGCATGAGAGATGGCGGGCACATAGTGTAGAAAACGCCACGCACACGCCATCTCGGAGGCCATGCAGTCATGCACCCGCAGCGTTTGTGTGCTGCCATCGGGCATTGCGTTTTTATAGGCAAGTTTGTCGTAGTGCACTTAGTTGGAATACACCTGCTGCGCAAAGCGCATTCGGCTGGTACACTATCAGCACGGCTGGTTTTAAACTTACTCTGTAATGCCCAGGAACAGTTTTGCTTTCAAAAAAATTGCGAGAAATCGCTGGCTATTTTTGCTCTTCTTGTACAGTTCATGTTGAGAACAGTATGAATTAAATTTTGTTTCAAGCATAATCTAATTAGTACTAAGAGGAAATAATGAATTACTCTCATAAAATATATAAGTCACTGTACCCATAGAGTTTTCTATTATTAATTACAGGGGACTCTGGCACTGCGATCGTTCAGTGACCATAAAAATGATGGGTAGTATACGGATTTGCACTTGCGGGCAGCGGATCGTACTTGTGGCTTCATTTATTGCTGTTTTGGTTTTGTTTGGAAGAAAAGAATGAACCCTTTTGAACTTCGAGACCTGATTTGAAAAGGTAAGCCTAAAAGTATAAGGTGGTGAAGGGCAAGCGCTGAACATTTGCTGATTTTTGTTTCGTGAGAAAACAGCTCCAAGCCACACGAACACACTTAAAGCCAGAAGTACGAAGATTAGATTAATTCTTATACTACCCATCATTCTCATGCTTACTGAAGCGCTGTGTATTGCAGCACCCACAGACACTAGTGCCAGAGTTCCCTCTAGTGTATATGTACTCAGGAAACTCTGATTGTACCTTCCTCATAACATGTCAAATCTGCAATAGCTACTTATCGTGACACTTATAGTAGCTATTAGTGGCGTTATTGATGTATCATATTTGATGTATCAAACATGATACAGTGGGCATTACAGGGTTAAAAGTTGGTCGAACATGCGCTTGAGCATGTGAACCGACCGCCTGGACAACACTTCGTCTTCGATCCGTACGCGTTCATTAAGAGAGGAACTAAGAAGAGCTCTGGGCTACAAAAACGATTCGCGTGCATCTTGCAGAACAATACATGCAAAACCGACCCATGAAATTTTCGCTGTTATTACTCCCGTGACTTTTTTGTCCCGCATAATGAAACCTCTCCCAAATTGGGGTCAACTTTTCTGAAAAAAAAAAAAAAAAAACCTTAATTATACGAATAAATCCGGTGTCTGTCATCGCGTGCTTTTCGCAATTTATGTCAGGTCCACATAATGGATTGGGGTGTGAGCATAGGTGTGTGTGTGCGAGTGAAAGAGCAGCTGACAAGTAGTTTATAGACAGCGTGGAAAGATTGAAGACTGGTAACAACACTGGCCAGTTCATGTTGTCCAGCAGAACTTGGCCACCAAGCTCATCCTTATAGCGCCGCCTGTCTATTTCCCTGTCCGAAGAGTGCTTCTCACAAACATAGTCACGAGGCATCAGCTCTCGGTCCTTCCTTGGTATGGCACGAGCCATTGCTGCCGACCTCACGGGACCACTAGAAACTTTTAGGGCAATTGCTTTGTCCTTGCAGGATGCCTACCTGCTGTTGGAAGTTCTGCACAACACACTTTCGCCACATCCCAAAGAACCACTGGTTGAAATGTTCAAACTTTCTCTTCGTTGTAGTGTGAAAAGTGTGCGCAGGACACTAGGAATCAGCCTAGCCAGCACAACGTGAGGAAGCCAAGATTGCGAAGGGATTTACGGCTGCTTGTTGGAAAATTTCCCTCCCAAGGCTGCTTGCTTATGCGCATGCACAACAAGCGACTGAGGGCGCGTGCATGTGCATGCAGCAGACATCTGTTCGGGGACCATTTAGCAGCTCATTTTAAGCACTGTATGGCCTATAACTGTGGCAGTATCAATTGGTAACTACAGTCAAAATGTTTGTCACGTCTACTGATTGATGTTACAGACAGAAATTTGAAAGTTTTCATAATGTACGAGGTGCTATCGCGTTTATTATGTGTCACCTCCACAGGAAAAGCGTGTAAAAGATGTCAAGCTTCGGCGTTATGTGCACTCCTCCATGACGTTATCGCGTTGCACTGCTTGGAAGTTTCTCTCCCTTATATATTCTTGATCCATGGTTGTGGCAGGAATGATGTCAACAGAGTTCTGAAAAGAGTCAGTATAAGCTGAGTTTTGCATCTGGCCTTTTTTGTGTGGTGATCATTTGTCATCACGATGAATTTCGGTTAATTCGTCATGATGAAGGATAATTGTGAAAGGGAACCGTATAGGGGTTCTCAAATGTTTTGTTACAAGTATTCTTTTTCAAGAGAAGCTTGTCAGAAATTACAAACTTCAGTGGCATTACCCTGCGTGAGTAACTCGATGCTGGCAAACGTAGAGCAATGCAGCCCTCACAGGCACGCCGGTTGCATGCACATTTGTATGCCTCAATATCAATTAACTGATGCTCTCATCATCGTGGGCTTGTGGGTGATCAGCTGTTTCTGATGATATGGCAAACTGATCTTTTATTGAGGTCAATTGGCATTTCACATTGTCACACTTTATTGTCGCCTGGATATGAATGTACGGCAATTGTTGCCCATAGCAACAGAAGTTGTGGTGATAAGCACGCATGTACGTGCAGTTTCTGGCATTGAGGGAGCGAGCATTGCACAAGCAACAGAAAAAAAAAAGATAGGAGTGGGTCAGCAGGCCAAGTTTCACCTTCCTTTTTTTTCCCGGAAGGCCTCCAAATTTTTGTTTTGGTGAGGGGTCATCATTCTAATTCACTGCATGGATCCTCGTTTGTGTGTTTGTTAGGAACTTAGCAAGAGGAACCTGGAGCAGCTCGCTAAGGAGAAGCTGGAATTGCTGCAGGCCATGGAGAAGCGAACACAGGAGCTCTCCTCTCTCAATGGTGGGTCAGCAAAGTTTCACAAAGCGCAATCAGCTTTTTGAGATAACGGCACTGTTGACGGAGTGTTCTAGAGCAGCAGCATCAAGTGCGTTAACAAGATGGCAGAGGTGTGCTCTGGACAACGTGCTAAAAGAGTAAATTAGTCAAGAAGACAACATACTAAAGAAAGAAGTGGCACACACAACTCCAGTCATTTTGTGTTGTAAGAGACGAAACAGGGGTGTAGAATTCATTTACAAAACCAAATATATTAGGGTCAATTCCGCAGTTGTTTCGTTTAAGAGATTTCCAGTCACTGAGAAGTTTTCCGTGCTCTAGTCAGAACACTTCTGCCTGCTCACTGGATTCTGCAGAACTTGTTTGCAATAACTGCTTGAGAACTGAGCAGCGTTGTTGAGTTCTTCATCAGCTTTGCACAGCTCTCCACTTCCACGTAAGATTCATCAATGAGAACTGCGCGCTAACATGGATCAAATGCTAGTGTTCATTGCAGGGCTACATCTGTGCGGTTTTGAAAGTCCTAGTCTTGTACAAAGTGATGATTGCTTTGTTGCTCTTGTGTGGGAACCTTGATCTGTTTTGAGTGTGTGTGTTTCATTTTGCGTGCCCAGAACAAGCAGAGTCCCTTAAATCCGAGCTGAGCAGCAGCCAGCAGCAGCAGCGCGAGGAGGCGGTGCGCCTCGAGGAGCTTCAGCTACAGCTGCTCAGTGCGCAGGTACATCACAGCTTGCTCATTTGAATTTTGTTCCCTCTTGAATGAAGTACTGTATTTACACAATTGTGGGTTGACCTATTTTATCAAGTGTTAAAATCTGAAGTTGGGGAGGTCGACTTGCAGTCGAAAATGAATGTGATGCCGTCACTAACGACTGGAGAAAAGAATCGGATGACCTGTGGCATGGTGACAATGTCACACTACCTTTTCTGCGCTGCTTGCAGCATATAATTATAGTGTGCTTGTTTTGAAAAGATTATTATGCTTTTTCAAGTACAGTTAAACCTGCTTATAATGAACCTCTATATAACGAATTCATCAATAGAATGAAATTTTCTATTCCCTGCTGTTGCTCCATAGAAGCACATGTATTTGTGACCTCTATGTAACCAAGTAACAGAGGGAGACGAATTTTTCTCACGGGAAATCTAGGAATTTGGTTCTGCATTTTGGTATTTTGGTACGAGTATGCATCTTCTGCGGCTGCACCGCCGCCGTCGAAGCGTAGGTGGCACTCCAGCGAGAGCGAGCGCTCCTTATTGCGCGTGGGTGAGCGCGAGGCAGGCAGGCGGACCGGCACCCCACGAGTCGGCGTTGCGTCGTTCTCGGTTCTCGCCGCTGCGGGAGCATGCGTGGGTGTGCCCCCCCCCCCTCCACTCCTAACAAAAAAAAAAAGGAAATTACTGTTGCGTGTTGGCAGCATAAGCGTATCAGCCGCGGGCAAGGGGGTTGCAAGCCCCCCCTCCACTAAGATAAGTTGGGGGGGGGGGCTGAGCCCCCCCACTTCCGACAGTGGTCGCTGTCAGTTGCACGCTGGGCAAACCAGCAACTATAAGGTGAACTTCTCCTTCACCACAGTAATCGCTTAATTATATTGTTGCCCCGCCGTGGTGGTCTAGTGGCTAAGGTACTCGGCTGCTGACCCGCAGGTTGCGGGATCGAATTCCGGCTGCGGCGGCTGCATTTCTGATGGAGGTGGAAATGTTGTAGGCCCGTGTGCTCAGATTTCGGTGCACGTTGTGGGGTCTTGACGCGGCGAGCGCCTCGTTATGCTCTTGGAGTGAAGGGACGCAGTAGACACGATCGGTATTAACCAAAGAACAATACACATTATCTAATTTATGAACGACAATATCGTGTGCCAAATCGTTACATCAATCGTAATCAACCCGCAAAGAACCTTACACGCAATTTCCATACACTCCAAAACATGACAAAAGACACAACACTACAAACACACAATAACATACCCAATGCCACGTCGCCAACGCTTGACTTACCACGCCGGACCCCGGCGCGAAGCCCGCTGTGCCGAGCACCGAGGACCTACGCTACAGACAACCGTTCACGGCAACCGCCACGTGCAGAAGAGCCTCGCTCAACTCTCGCCCGCCACCAAGGCCTGCCTTCTGCCAGGGGTCACCGTCGGCGCTACCACTCTACCTACAGGGGTACTCAACGCGAGCACAATGCCATCTATCGTCCGGCAGTTGTCACCCCCGAAATACGGCTTCTGTGCGAGACACGTGTGCCACACGGCGCAAACAACCTTACAGGGGGGGTCAAAACCCCCACAACGTTGAAGAACCCCAGGTGGTCGAAATGAGGAAAAATGAGCCCTTAGGTTTACACTTTATATATATATATATTGTCGCGAGCAAAAAACAAGACCGGCAGCCAGGAGTTCACTCGAACCAGAGCAGCGAAAACATTCTCTTCTTCTTCGTAGCCCAAAACGGGTATGAGCCACAGCGGCTCGTTCATCAATGGTGGCATTACCCCCTCTCCCAAGAATCGTCTCGATGCTGTACATGAAGGAAAAAAAAAAAGAAAATCAGATGAAAATTATCATGCAAGCAAAATGAATGGCGTAAGGCGGAATAACATAGTTGGTTGTGGAGCCAAGAGTTAAATGAGAAATAAGAAAAATAGGAAAGAATGTAAGGGAGAGACGAATAAAGTCAGTCACTCACTGGCGATTCACAGCGCGAAAAGTATGGTTTCAGCCGTGAAACGTGAACGACTTCAGTTCGCGGGGTGAAACGGGAACGTCTCGAAGTGCCTTCTGGGAGAACCTCGTATGTGATGTCGCTGAGACGTCGTACGACCTTGTAAGGGCCGAAGTAGCGGCGAAGAAGCTTTTCTGAACGGCCACGTTGTCGGATAGGGGTCCACACCCAGACTTCATCACCGGGCTTGAAAATAACTTCACGGTGACGAAGATTGTAGCGGCGTGAGTCTGCGGTTTGGTGATGTTGAATACGGTGACGAGCGATTTGACGGGCCTCTTCTGCACACTGCGCGAATTTCGCGGCATCGGTGCGGTATATTCCTAAGTTGTTGGGCAGGAGCATGGCGTCGAGCATCGTCGTGACCTCGCGACCGTGGACTAAGCGAAAAGGTGTGAAACCGGTACTTTCTTGAACAGCAGTATTATACGCAAAAGTTACGTAGGGAAGTATGGCGTCCCAGTTCTTGTGATTGATGTCCACACACATTGACAGCATGTCTGCAATTGTCTTGTTGAGTCGTTCAGTCAGCCCGTTTGCTTGCGGGTGGTAAGCCGTTATTTTACGATGTTCCGTGCCACTTAATCGCAAGACTTCCTGCAGCATCTCTGCGGTGAAAAGCTGTCCCACGATCAGTTATGACGACAGCTGGAGCACCGTGACGTAAGACGATGCTGTTCACGAAAAATTGGGTGACCTTTGCTGCGGTTGCTTTTTGAAGCGCCTTCGTTTCACAGTAGCGTGTTAAGTAGTCGCTAGCGACCACAATCCACCGGTTTCCAGACGAAGACGTGGGGAATGACCCCAGCAAGTCCATGCCAATCTGATGAAAGGGCGCCTTTGGTGGGCCTATTGGTTGCAGTAGTCCCGCTGGTCGTAAAGGTGGAACCTTACGTCGCTGACAGTCGCGACATGTGCGAACATAATGCTTCACAGTCCTTGCGAAACGTGGCCAGTAGTAGGAGCGTTGAATCCGTTGCAGCGTGCGCATATAGCTGAGGTGTCCGGACGATGGCTCATCATGACACGCACGTAAAATGTCACCACGAAGCGTAGTTGGCGCAACAAGCAGATACATAGCTTGTGTAGGATGAAAGTTCTTTTTGTAAAGCACTTCATCGCGGAAACAAAAGGAGGACAGCGAGCGTGCAAAGCTTCGAGGAGGGTGGGAATTGCGTCCTTCCAGGTAGTCAATGAGCGGAATGAGCTCAGAGTCGTGACGCTGTTGCTCAGCCAAGCGGGTTGCTGATACGGCAGAAAGAAAAGTGTTGTCGTCTTCAAGGTCAGTGTTGGCATTTTCGACCGGTGCACGTGAGAGACAGTCGGCGTCGGTGTGTTTCCGCCCTGATTTGTGGACGATGGTGACATCGAAATCTTGTAGCCGAAGGCTCCTTCGTGCTAGACGACCTGAGGGATCTTTGAGATTTGCGAGCCAACAAAGGGAATGGTGGTCACTAACTACCCTGAATGGGTGCCCATACAAGTATGGGCGGAACTTTGTTATGGCCCAGACAACAGCGAGGCATTCCTTCTCGGTTGCAGAATAGTTTTTCTCCGCTGGGGATAACGTTCTGCTCGCATAAGCGATCACGCGCTCTACGCCATTATGCCACTGAACTAATACCGCTCCTAGTCTCACGTTGCTGGCGTCAGTGTGTAATTCCGTGTCAGCGCTTCCGTCAAAATGACCCAGTACAGGCGGAGCCTGGAGGTGGTTTCGGAGGGTGTCGAACGCATGACACTGATCGGGACCCCAGACAAACGAGACGCCGTCTTTTGTAAGCTTGTTGAGGGGTTCAGCAATCTTTGAAAAGTTTTTGACAAAGCGCCTGTAATACGCACAGAGCCCCAGAAATCGGCGTAGGTCGCGCTTATTTGAGGGCACGGGAAAGGCGGCAATAGCACGGGTTTTCTTCGGATCTGGGCAGATGCCGGCATGGCTCACCTTGTGACCAAGGAACTTCAGTTCTTCATATCCAAAATGACATTTCTCGGGTTTGAGAGAAAGCCCCGCTGTTCTGATTGCCTGAAGTACTGCATGAAGGCGTTGGACGTGTTGTTCAAACGTGTCTGCAAAGACCACGACGTCATCAAGGTAAACAAGACATGATTGCCATTTGAGCCCTGTGAGAACCGTATCCATCATTCTTTGGAAAGTAGCTGGCGCTGAGCATAGACCGAAAGGCAACACTTTAAACTCGTACAGGCCGTCGGGAGTAATAAACGCCGTCTTTTCGCGGTCGCGCTCATCCACTGCGATTTGCCAGTAGCCGCTACGTAAATCCATGGAAGAAAAATATTTAGCGCTGCGTATACGGTCCAACGAGTCATCTATCCTGGGTAGAGAATAAACGTCCTTTTTGGTGACCTTGTTCAGTTTACGGTAATCAACGCAAAAACGCAACGTACCCTCCTTCTTCTTTACTAGCACAACTGGCGAAGCCCAGGGACTGGTTGATGGCTGGATGACGTCGTCCTGAAGCATCTGCTGGACTTGGTCACGTATAGCGTCTTGCTCTTTTTGCGACACCCTATAGGCGTGTTGTCGGATGGGTCTCTCGGTGGGTTCCGTGATGATACGGTGCTGAGCAAGTGGTGTCTGTTTAACCTTTGACGTAGTGGCAAAGCAGTCTTGAAATGAGCCGAGTAAACGCAAAAGGCTTTCCCGTTGAGACGAAGGTAGTCTCTCGTTTACGTCGAGAGTGCTCGCGAACGCCTCGTCAGGGTGGCCATTCGATGAAAATAAAGCTAACGTGGGCGAACCATCGGCATCGGCAAGTTCTTCACAATATGCAATGGCAGTGTGTCTCGTTAGGTGGCGATATTCGTCGCTGCAGTTCGTGACCAGCAGGTGAACATGCCTATTGCTAGGCTGAATGATTCCTCGGGCAACACAGATTTGTCGTGAAATAAGGAGAGACAAATTGGCCTCTGCAATTACCGCGTCAGACATGTCCTGTCCCAATTCCACTTCGACAAAGAGGCTGCTTC